AAATATGAAAAAATTTATCCTAGGAGGCATACAGACCCCGAGGGCAAGGGATAGTTAATAATGAGCTGTCTAATAAAAACAGCCCCACAAATTACCCTCTGAAAGACTGCATTAAAAGAACCTTTTCTTCTTCCTTGCTACTTCCAAGTTGTCCATGGAGGAGCTTGAAAGATTATTAAAATAAAGAATAGTCCCCTGTGTTTTTTGTACCTGAGGGAGCTGAAACAAGACCCTGGCTGGAACAGGAAATGTACAATAAATCCCATTTTTATGACTCTGTAAGTCAATGATTTTATGGTTTTAGTAACAGCCTTGTAAGAAGTATTTTAGGGTTTTGTTTTTGGTGAGTTGCTTGGTTGTTTTTGGTTTGTGGTTTTGTGTTTGTTTTTCCAAGGCAGCGTATATAAGCAAATTAAGTCATATGTAATCCTGAGATTGCTAAAGAAAGGTTCACGAAAACAAAAACCTGTTCTAAAGAAGTATTTTTATCTCAGCTGTTTTTATGCTCAGGAACAGCCTGAACAGATATGGCCACACTTGCACCTTTTTTCAGCTGGAATGGGCAGGAGCACCACCAACCACAGCCCCTGGTTTATAAACAACCCACTGGGCCCTTGGGCAGCCTGAACGGGGGAGACACTGGGAAGCCCCCCAAGCATGGGGTGAACTTGTACCTTCTCTCAACACTGTTGCAGGTCACTGATCCCAAGGGCCTGGCAGAACATGCAAACTGAAGGGAGAAGGATGATTTTTATTACAACATCTAATAGCCTAACATAGGGTGTTCTCTCCTGTGCCAGTGGGGTTCATGGTATCTAAAATACAAATGTGCCTGCACACACGGGCCCTGCAGCCTCAGCAGAGTTGCTACACAAGATAAAATCACACGAGTTCCACATTTTATTTTCCTGATCTTTGCTCTGCTTTTTCTTTTCTGAATTTCAAAGAATCATAGAACAGCTTCCAATGATCTTGGAAGGACCCTTAAACATCATCTCATTCCAACCCTCTGCCATGGACAGGGACACCTTCCACTAGACCAGGTTACTCAGATCTGCTCAATCCATCAAATCTGACCCTGAACATTTCCAGGGATGGGACAGCCACAGCTTCTCTAGGCAGCCTGTACCAGAATCTCACCACCCTCTCATTTCTTCCTGATGTCCAATCTAAACCTCTCTCTGTCAGTTTGAAGCCATTCCCTCCTGTCACTACATACTCTTGTTTGTTTTAGACACAGATTCATTTCTCAGCAGCTCATAGACTATGGAGTTAAATGCCTCCACAATATCTACCAAGTATCCTTCCTCTTAAAAACGTAAATACAGATTTGTTCATCTGCTGAATTCTGCCCCAGGCTGGAGTAGATGCTCTGTGCTTTGAGCTGGGCTTTCATCCTCCCTGTGCCTCCTGTGGCACACCCTGCTCACAGAGGTGAGCTGCTGGCATGGGTATACAGGGATGTTTCATGTCCCTAAAGGGAGGCTGCTGCACTTGAGGACAGAACTGGTGCTAACAAGTGCACTCAGGAGTGCCTTGGCTGCAACGTGTTCATCTTGGCCAAACCCGTATGCGTTTCTTACTGTTGCAAAGAAGGCTTCAAATTTCAGTTTTATTTTTTAATAAGATCACATTTCTATTTAGTAACATAGTTGCTCCAGCTTAAACTTGAAATACATATATTTCTATATTTTAAACCGTGAAGTTTTACTAGTGTACAGTTCTACCAGTGGAGCTGGACATCAGAGCATCTCAGCCAGCTCTTGCTTTCTAAATCTGTTGCTGTTTATCTGACTGCCACAAGGGAAAAACAAGGAGAGAAAGGGGGGGAAACAGACACTATGTAAAGGAAAAAAAAAAACAAAGCAATAAATTAATGCCAGGCAGTTCCTTATTCGGTTTCCTTCTGGGGAAGGGTGCAACAACCAACCTCACAATTGCTTTTCATCTTCTTTGCAGCCTTCCTCGTGCTGCTCTGCTTCTGCATCCCCAGATAAAGTTGGTCAGCCACTCCCAGAGCTGTGAGGGTTATCCAGCCACCTCCCACTGAAATCCATCCTTATGGCACTCCAGGGCAACCCAGGTGGTTTTGTTAAACGGGGTATGGATGAGTAAGTTGGGTCCTGGGCAGTGCTGTGCACTGTTGTGGGTTACCGTGACTCTTGTGGAGCATAAATCACAATAATAAACTTTTCCTGTGATTTTTGTAGGAGCTTCTCCAGAGGCAAAGCCTTGCCTTAGGCCTCAGCCCCACCGAGCTGTTGTTTATTCTAGGAAATTACTCTGTGTGATACTCTGGGCTGTGTTATTATTCTTTAAATTCATAGGTCTGTACCAGCCTCCCAAAGCCCACCAGGAAACTCCCAGGCGGGTACTGCTGATCCTGGCTTACTGCCTGGGCACACTTTTATTAAGAAATTCTTGCTGGCCATGCATGACATCGAGCTGATAGAATGATGATACCATAGTTTGACTGACCCCTTTTGGAGTTGTCCAAGCTTAGGAATCGAGTTGCTGTCACCACCCACTCCCAGAGGTTTAGCGCTGCCCTTATTGATGGGAGAGAGTTTTCGTTTTCTTCGTGAATCTTAAGAAGGTGGTGAGAGAGAGGAGAATTCCCAACAGTGGTGTGGTGGCACCCAAAGTAAAAACTACTTATTTTGAGACTGGTGGCAAATTCCAGATACCACAGTGCACACTTTCTCCCCCTCGTCCCCATTTTAAGTAGGTGCACCTGTTTTAGTTCCCGTTAGCAGTTTGGGTGTTCTGCAGCATGTGAAGACACAGAGCAGACGTTGCTTTGCTCTTTTCCCCCAGCCACTTTATTTCCCTGCTAGTGGAACCTCTCCACCTGCAGGATAAAGCATTGTCATAGCATGAAACCACAGCCCTCCTCTTCACTATCTCCTGCTTTCCCAGCCTCCACATCTGGTAAAAAGTGTCGAGACCGGCCACAGTGCCCCTGTGTAACAGAAAATAACTCAGCAGCCTTTGGGGTGTAGATATTTGGTAAAAATAGCCATGGTTTGGGTCAGTGACTGGATTGCCAGGTTTCAGCCAGAGGTGAATTTTTTTCCACCTGCTCTAAGCTGTTTTATACTGGAAGCAGTAAGAGGTGATGAATAAGCCCCATAAGCCAGCAGCCCCCCATCCTGCTGGCAGCTGATCTGTCCTGCTCACCACGGCACGAGGGGCTCGCCAGCAGAGCAGGGCAGTGGGCAAAGCTCTGCCAGCTGAATGCATGGGAGGCACCTTCACACCAGCACTGGAAGATGTGAAGCCCAGGTCACATGGGAACATGTGCTGGTGTTGTGAGCTCGTGGAGATGTTGACATTTTTACATGTTCTGAGAAAGAAGTTGCAGTAATTTTTACCATTTAAGAAAGACGTGCAGTGTCATCTCGTGTAGACTTGGGGTTAAACAACTAAACTTATTTAATTGATAGCCTTATAGCAGGCATAGGAATATTCAGCATTATCAGTGCTTTTTTCCTACAAAGCATAGGGAATGTTTTAAAAGCTGTTCTGTGTAATTATGAGTTCTATAACAGATTGCAGGCAATCTGAAAAAAATATTCCCAGCAATACAGAGATGAGAAAATGTCACATTGTTTGTTCATAACAGTGGCTCCTTTGCATTGCTCTGGCCTATCTTGCTGGACTCAGATACTCTGGGATGCACCACTCCCACATCCATCATCTGTCAGGTAAGGTCCCAGTATATTCAGTTCCCAACCAGCTGGGTAAGGTTTTTATTACACCACATACTTTTTAAACACTTCTTTTTTACACTGCAAGGAGAAATTCAAGCCTGAGACTGCTGTGACTAAATTTGAGGAGCTGAGAGGGTAAGTCAAAGGAGGTCTCTTTGATTCCCCCTGCAGACGAGCAAGCTTCCCTTTGCCAGCCCTCACAGCTGTTTTGCCAGCCTGGATGCAGGCTCAGGAGCACAGGCACCCTGACCCCTGGCTCCCGAGGCTGTCACACACACACACGTGTGTGTGGACATCTCTGCCTGTCTCCAAGGCCCAGAGTTTCTTCTGGGGGTGCAGGGAACAACACTTTGGTCCTTGAAATTAGCACCTGCTTGTGGAGGTGGGCAAATAAAATACCTCCACTCCACTGGTCCTATTACAACTCCTTGTTTGCTTGGCATGTGCCTTTGCTGGAGCCAACAGGACTTTGGCAGCAGAGTTAAAGGGATCAAGGTTTCATCTGCAGTCATAAAGTTAAAAAATGCCAAAAAGCCCTCCCAGGCTTAAGACCCTGTGTTTCTGAGTCTGTATCCATAGTTGCTTTCACAGCCCATCCACATTTTTGGTCTGGTTTCTGAGCACTGGCTTGTGGTAGGTATGTTTCTACTCACAGGTTCGATTTAAGGGCAGAGGCTGGAATAATAAACCCCCTAATACCATAGAAAAGCTAAAACAAATGCACAGTCGAGCAGTTGCTCAGTACCTTTATAACTAGAAAGGATTTATTCAGTTAATAAATGTCAGCTCCTTTTCTCTGGGCAACCCGGTCTACTGGATGATGTCCCAGCCCATGGCAGGGGCTTGGAACTGCATGACCTTCGGGTGCCTTTCAACCCAAAACATGCTATGATTATATCAAGGCTCTTTCAGATCAAGTCGGGATCCCCTTTGTTGTGCCACTGCTCTTCAAGCTTACTTAAACAATATCTGTTTGTTTGTTTTTATTTTAATCTTCTGAAAAGAAAGCACCCCCAGCTCCCCAACCCAGTCTCCCTCATTTTTTTAAGCCTCTCAACATTCTTACAGGCTCTCCTCTAAAACTGGTCACCCATCACTATTTCTAGGTGACGTGCTCTTTGTGTGCATCTCCTTCTTAAGCACCGCACCCGGCACAATGTGTGCAAAAACCAGGTATTTCCCCAAAAAATACGCGAATGTAGCTCCGAGACGTTGCTCTGGAATCGCGTCCGTGTTCTCAGCAAGGTTTTTACTTCGGGGAGAGGACGGGGCGAACTTCTCTCGCGTTCTTCTCGGCGAGCAGAGCCGTCCCTCCCCTGCCCGGGGCTCTCCTTTGTTCGGGGCCGGGCTGCGGGGCGGAGAGGCGGGACCCGGGGGGGCAGCGCGGAGGGGCCGGGCCGGGCCTGGCGGAGCCGCCCCCGCGCCGCGCTGTGCCCGCTCGGCCCCTCGGTCACCGTCGGGGCGGCCGGCATGTGGCGGGGGCTGCCGCTGTTGGCCCTGGCCGGGCTGCTGGTGCTGGGGCGGGCGCCGCCGGGGCGGGGGGCGGCCTGCGAGCCCGTGCGCATCCCGCTGTGCAAGCCGCTGCCCTGGAACATGACCAAGATGCCGAACCACCTGCACCACAGCACGCAGGCCAACGCCGTGCTGGCCATGGAGCAGTTCGAGGGGCTGCTGGGCACCAACTGCAGCCCCGACCTGCTCTTCTTCCTCTGCGCCATGTACGCGCCCATCTGCACCATCGACTTCCAGCACGAGCCCATCAAGCCCTGCAAGTCCGTCTGCGAGCGCGCCCGCGCCGGCTGCGAGCCCGTCCTGGTGCGCTACAGCCACGCCTGGCCCGACAGCCTGGCCTGCGACGAGCTGCCGCTCTACGACCGCGGCGTCTGCATCTCCCCCGAGGCCATCGTCACCGCCGAGGGCGCGGGTGAGTGCGCGGGGACCGGCACCGGCACGGGGACAATGGGCGGCGGGCGGGGAGCCAGCCCAGCCCAGCCCCGCCGGCCCGGCAGCCCTGCCTCCCTTCCGCGCCGTCCGACTGCCCCCCGAGCCTCTTTGCTTGCCCTCCGCGCTTTTCTCTCTCTTCCCTGCCTTTAGTAACCGCTGGAAAAGTTTTGCTGTTGGACACAGAGGGTGTGTGACAAGTGACAGCCCCGCCGCCGCGCTGGGGATCGCGTACGAGTGTGGGAACGACAGCCCTCGTTCCGCATAAGCGGGAAGCGTTGCCGTATCCCGCTCTGGTGGTCCATCGGCAGCACTTGCTGGCTGAGAAGGCAGAGCCAGTCGAGAAGGGCAGCCCCCAGGCTGCCGACTCCTCCAGCCCCTCTGCTCGTCCCCGGCCACTCCCTCCCCAAAGTGGGGTGCTCCCCTCCCACACAAGGCCACCACTCCACAGATTTTGAGGAAAGAGCTGTGCCCAGAGGAGCCCCAAGCAGAAGTTGGGGGGCCGTGGTCTTCCCAGCCTCTTCCTGTGCCAGTGGTGACACACGCACACCTGAAGGGGAGAAAACAAGCTCGTCTCTGTGGCCGGCACTGAAGGCACGTTCTTCAGCAGGTTCCTGGGCTCTAAAGTCACAGCCTGGTGAGAAGCACAGCAAAGGTGCAGCCTTTCACTGTGTTTTGTTCTCAGCATCCCTGAAGCCAAAGGCTGCCTCTGCCGCTGGAGGCAGCTCCAGTGCAGTCCTGATGGTACCACCGTGGCTTGAGGGGCTGTTGGAGCCCCTCGACTTTGTCACTGCATCCAGTTTCACCAGCTGAGCTCTCTGGCCCCAGGATGGATGGTGCTGGGTGTCTGGGGGCTGTCCAGTGGTACTGGGGAGGCAGGAGCATCTCTGCACGGTTGTGCGAGGGCTGCTCAGGCCACCGCTGTGCTGCAAAGCTGCTGTGGCTCAGGGACCCTGCTCCTGTCACAGCTGCCCTGGGGCTGGGGGAGTTGGCAGGGCACGGCTCCGGCATGGTGAGCCAAGCACCGCAGAAATACTGAATCCAAGGAGCTATTGAATAGGAAATTAAAGCAAGGCAGTGGGTGGTTATCACGAGTGAGCTTTGACCTTTACAAAGTGACTGCAGTTCCTGTCTTACTTCAGGAAAGCATTTGCTGCTGGTGGAACAAGGTTACGTTTCCTTTGCAGCGAAGTCACAGTGTTGGTGGCTCTGCCAGACCTCTCCATCAGAGGAGTGCAAGGGCAGTGCTGGGCTGGGGTAGCAGCCAGGAGGGTCAGAGGCTGAGGCAGAGCAGCACCCGTGCACCCCGAGGGCTCGTTGTGCCGCCTTCCCCCCACACACACACCGGCTCCTTCCGTGCCTGCAGCTGTAGTGCCAGGTTGTGAATCCCACCTCTCCATCCTACCCCAGCAGTGAATGGCCTGGGAATGAAAGGGGGATTTTTCATGCTATGCCCAGCACAGTATTTGACTGTGCTTCTGTCCCATTACCAAATGCTTTATATATTCCACTGCCAGTAATGCCAAACACTGTAATTCCTGTTTTCTTCTCCTAACAAAATACCACGCTTCGGTTTCCTGACTGTGCTCCCCAGCTCAGCCTTCCCAGGTAAGCTGCTCACTCCATTCCTCCATTTATTTACAGGCCAGGCAAACCCTGTTCCTGCTCTGACTCCATTCTCTGGCCCTTTACACCTCTTGAAATCTCCACTCAGTGGCCATACAGCGATATCTCTGGTCATTACCACTGTTTCTGTCTAACCTGTCTAATTGCTCCCCTCTTGCCTTTCCATCCTTTCTCCCCTTGCAGCGTCCCCAGCCCGTGAACCCAACCATCAATTTTTGCCGTCAGCTTCTGCTTTTTGGGGGCCACAGACCTGCTGGGGTGGTTTGGGGAAATAGGGTTTTGAACACCAAGCACCTTTCTCTGTGGCTTTCAAAACTGCCTTAAAAATGGCTCCAAAATGAGCAAGGCTTGGCAGGTCTACAGCGATTTGAAAGCAATCACATTCAAATCTGGAGGGAGGAAGCTTGGCTAAAATTGCCCCCGAGTTACCTATTTCTGAGGACCTCAGCAGTACAATAACCTCTTTGAGGGATTCCAGGGCCAGATCCATGAAAACTCTCTTTCAGTGAATGAGAACCTGATGACATTCTCATTTCTGGGCTGAAAATTTTGAACTGATGCATTATATACCAGCCTGAAAGAATCCTTCTTGAGGGAATAAAACTGCTCCTTTAGAAGGCAGAGTGAAGGATTCCTGTTCTAGGAAGAGGTAAGGTGAACACTTCCAAATTCAATTCTCCAAATAAAGGATTGCAGCCAAGTAGGAGACATGAATAACCAGCTGCCTGATGAGGAGCATGCAGAATACCTGCTCTTAGTTTATCTCCCAAGCATTCTAGCCCCTTCTGCTGTCTATAAACTACATCTAATAGAGCAGGCAGAAATATAAATCCATTGTTTCATGGACTTCTGTTGTAGAAGCCCACGGAACAGCCATGAAGCCAATTTCTATTCTTCAGAAGTGAAATCTTGGTTTTGCTTTTATTCTTTTGCTGCTTGTAGTGTAATAGGATTCTACTGTCTCCTTTCCCCTTGAGGTCTCTGCGTTGTTGCTGGTGAGCATTGGTACACTTGTCCGGTCTCTCCTGTAAGGCCTGAAGGGAGGTGTGGTCGGGTGTTTGTTGCTGTCAGAGCAGGGGTAGGGTTCACAAGCCCGATTTTCATTCCTTTTCCAGTACTAGACTGTGCATCCTTCAGAGTGCATGGGTCAGCTGGATCCAAGAGGCTGAGAAAGCTGATATGTTTTGGGCTTGGTTAGGGGAGTAGCTGTGCACACTCCCTGGGCTTGCGCTGGTGGGAGTGCTGATTTGGAGGTCTGAAGTTCCTCAGGTTAGAGACCACCTTCAAAGAAGTATCACATAGGAAGCATATGTTTTGTGATTTTTCATTCTCTTTGAGAAACATCAGGGTTGCTTCACAGCCAGAAGGGAGAAGGATGCTGTGGGCATGGTGAAGGTGTTCTGGATGCAGGTGTGATGCTGAATATTTTGGCTTTTTGTGGAGGAATCATCATCCAGGACGGAGGATGAAAAAGCCTCTGGACAATATATTAACACCCCCAATGTCAGATTAATGCATGCTAATGCCTGAAGTCTCCTATGGCATTTATCCCACGTCCCTGTCCTGCACTTTTGGGTGATGAAAGCGGTTCTGCTCGCAGACATTGATCCAAGCTGTCTTACATCTGCAGGAGGTTTGTTCACTCGCTCCATGCGTTTCAGTCTCCACGTGCATATGCTGACTCTTCCTCCCATCTATTAGATTATCTACTTCCCTCACACAGGGACCTGTCAAAACTTCTTAGGTCTGTGAAGCAGCAGGAATTGCTGATAGACAAAAACTGTCTCGTATCTAAAATTTCAGAGGCAGGACCTGTCTTTAATTTTCAGGTAATAAATGACCAGGCTGACCACGGCCATCATTGACATTGGGTTGGTGACTCAGAAGAGCACTTTGGAGCGTGTGCTTGGCCGCTGCTGCTGCCTAGCAGAGTGTTTGTGTCTCCAGCGACACGTTTATCCCTGTTTTGAAGGGGGAGCTGGCTGTAAAACCAGAGCAATGTGATGGGTGCTGTGCGAATTGAAGGACAGATCTGTCGGTCGGGTCCATCTCATCCTATTTTTTTTGTGTAAGAAAATAGCTGGGAGGCTTGTTGGCCCTGTTGATAAGATGTTGGAGGAAGGGAAGCGGCATCACAAGGTATCAACCACATGTAGTCAACACCCAGACCGGTTTGAGTGACTGTCATAAGATGTCTGCAGGGAATGTTGAATTTCTTTTTAAAAAGTATCATCTCTTAAACATCAAAGAAAATTACAGATTATTCAAGTGATGTACACCTGTTTTCTTAAATCTGATGTGAATCCCCGATTCCTCCATGTAGCCCAAGCCCTCCATGTCTGCTGGGTGAGTTCATAGTAACCCAGTATGGGAATCTGGCATTGGAGGCTTAAAAGACAGGCAAAAGAGCCGTTTCCCAGCCTTGTTTCTCATATGTTATTAACTTCATTTCCAAGACAGTGGTTTCCAAGCTCCACATTGAATTTGTTCTGACTCAGTCTTTGCACAGCAGTGCTGGGGGAGCGTTTCAGGCCTTGCTGAGGGTGAACAGTTGTGCCCAGGTTGTCATTTTAAAGCTGAGATTTGTTCAGGCATTTGCTCAAAATTTGGGAGCAGCCTCATTTTTCAGTTAAGGAACAAAATGGTTACAATCTTCAAGCCTGAAAGAGGATAGGAGAAGTGAATAAGAGAACTTAAACCTTATAAATGATGATAGCACCAATGACATTAGACTCTTGCTGCAGTCTGCCTTTGCAGGCTGAGTCCCCTAGAATGATTTTGCATTGCCTAAAGCCATTGTCTAAGCATTGAGTCAAGACCTGAGCCTTTAAATGTCATCAAAACCCGGTGGGATTTGTTACGAGGAATAATTTGTTATGTGGAGCAGTCTGCTCTGTGACTTGGAGTTTGAGTCCTCTGTATTAAATTTTAACTAGGATTGGTTTTCATATCACTTTGCTTCGCTGTGCATGTTTTTGCAACCAACTTTGCAAAGATCCTCTCTGTACTAAGAGCTGAAGTAGATGACAAGGTCTGAATTCATGCATTTTGGAAGGGTTTCTTAATTAATGTCATCATCTTAAGCAACTGCTATAAGTAAGATGTTCACTCAAAAGTAGGTGTTACCAAGTTTGTTCCCCTCTCCAAAACCTCTCACCCAAATCTGTGGTCCGGGCATTGTTATTTTGTACACTTCCTGTGCAAGTTACTTCTGTTTAGCTCTCCTTGTTAGTGTTTTGGTTTGGTTTTTTATATAGCATCCCTCTGAAAAGTGATTAATTAAAATGGCTTATTGGAAAGATCAGTTTGCATTCCTTCCCCTGCTCTTCAACAAAATTTAATAGGAAGCTTTTGGATTGGACCTCTGCATGATATTCCCTCCTTGGCAATCCTGTTAATCATTGCTGACAGACACCCTTTTCAGAAAGATTGCTTTACATAGACAGAACTTGGCACAGGGGCTGCCCCTGAAGAGAAGTGGAACAATAGGAAGTCAGTTGATTTGTGGGGTTTTTAAATGGCTTTTTGTTTTTCCTTCCTCTGTTTGCATTGCAGCTGAAGGTCTCAGCAGTGTCCATCTCTGGGTGCAGAGAGGCTGCTGGGGTCAGGGGCTGGGATTTCATGGTTGCTCACACCCACCTAAGATCTGGTGAGTGGCTGGTGGCAGGGCTGGCCCAGACCCTCTTCCCATCCCTTCCCTGGTAGGTGAGAGTGGACCAAACATACTGAGTATGACTGGGGAAGGGATCAGGGAGATAGGAAGCTTTTCCTGAGACATGTCAGATGCTGGCAGAGGTCTCCAGTCCCCTCCACAAGCCTGTGGTGCTCTCCATCAGTAGAAACCCCTTATCCCTAAATAAACAGGAGTGCCTCAGGGAAGATAAGCATCGAGGCAAGGTCAATATTTGCCTGGCCCAAGCCCTCCCAAGTAAGGAAATGAACCGTGAAGTGAAGTATCAGTACCTGTTTACCCCTTCTTTGCTCAGGGATGGACACCGTGCTCTGACCACAAGTACGGAGCAGCATGTGCTCCACAGCCCTGAAATGGGAGCCTCTTCTATCAACAGCTGCTCTGCACACAACATCGAACTGCTGCTGCTCCGCCCAGCTGCTTTGTGGGGTGCCTGCAACAAGTGGCTTCAGTTAGGATGAATACCCTGGCAGAGCAGAGTTAGGAAATGGGCTGGGGCTGTGGCATATTGTAATTTGGTTAAAAATAAGTTGCGTACTTAGTCGTGGCTGGGAACATCTGGTGTAAAGCAGTTTAGTTTCGTGCTTGTTTGCAAGCCTGGGTTTGTATTGGGCATACTGAGTGTTTGCCAGCCCGCCTGGAGTTGGTGTGAGGTGGAAGGACAGTTCCTCAGCCAATACCCGTGAGCATCACACCCCCTGTGGGCCAGGGAAGGCTGCAAACCCCTCACTGGGCTCTGGTTTATTTTCAGTTGTAATTTCAGTGTGAGTTGGGCTTGGTTGCCTCAAGCACCGTGAAGCCATGACTACTTGCATCAGCCCTTGCTTTAGGAAGGGGGAGTGTACTTCAGGGCTCCTTTTTCCTT